TCTTATATCTAGTGAATATTTAAACTAAATATTTAGCAAGTAATTACCCCTACTCAATTTTGTTGTATCATTGTAGTCATATATGTACTAGTTTTTTGCTATTTATAGCTTTCAGTGCTTTAATTTTTTTAGTTTTTTTTATACGCCTATTTATTTTTTGATGTGAGATTGTCAAGATAATTTCCTTGTATTATATAAAAGGAATGATTTATACTTGCTATTTTTATAGTACTATAGTTAATGTTCTTGCTAGATCATTCTGTACAGTTCATTCGTTCTAGTACTAAGTACTAGATGCAAACCTTTACTCGCTGTATATGCTGAATATAGTAAATCTGGGTTTGTAAATTTTAATTTTGTCTGTTTTTTTGTATTTTAAATAAAATTTGGTTGTTGAATTTTTTGATTTTTTGTTTTTTTTGTGTTGTGTTTTTTGCCAGGTAGATGATTTGATAATCATTGATCGTCAAAAACCAAAAAGAAAGTTTGTAATGAAAGGATTTGATTTTTTTTTGTTTTTTTTTTCAGCAAAAATCATATTCAGTACCCATGAGTGTAGTACATGGTTGGTGAAGTACATTTATAACTAGTATTAAAATCTTATTGACATGACATGGCTGGTAATTTTGTGATATGTTATTGCGTATTTTATAGCTATGTTGATATTGAGGTGACATGTTTAATGAATAGTTTCTGTATACTATTTGTATTAGCATTATTATTCTAGCTAAACCTTATCAAAGCCTTATGCTTATTGTATACTTGTTAAGGTATAATCACGGCATTTATTTTTTTGTATAATATTATTTTTTTGAAAGATAAATTAAAATAAAAAAATACCAAAAAAAAAATCAGCATTACTAGAATTTATTTCTTTTGCTACAATAATTATGTCTAGTACTATTACTGTGCTTTGTTATGTAACTGACTATTGGTTAAATCTTGGCAAAAATATTTGTGTAGTTGAGGCTTTGGGTTTTATAAAATTCTGAAGCTTAGATTCACTTTTAAAAATCTTTTTAAAAGGTTTTTATCATTAGAATACAACTCGAAGATTTAGTTTTTCCTTATTTGAAAAAGAAGATATGATTCTCACATTTGAAAAATTTTGTGTGATTGAATATATTAATGATAAAAATGAAAAACTTCTTGCCCTGAAAGTAAGTTAGTATTTCCTATTTGTGGCAATGTGCATTGATAATAGCAAGGATCTTTTCTGTTTAACATATTGTTAGTGTATATTAAATACATTGTTTGTTGTGTTCGTTAAGTGATATGTATTATCTTCATAATGCTTTGTTGTTTGTTTCTGTATATTTTAAACCATGCATACATTACAACATCCACAACATATATGTGATTATACTAACTAATAATGTATATTTTTTTTGTATTGATCATAAATATGCAAATATGTATATAGATCATTTTAAGTGATCTTGTGCATTTTGATTTAGATCTAAAAGATCTTTCCAAATTTTCTTCTTTACTTAATATAACAAGAAATCTCGAATATTGATGGTGAAGATGCATTTATGACAGTCTTAATGACTAACTATATAGATCAGGATCAATATAATGCTGAAATTATCGGTCATTACCTAGCATCTGTGCTCATTTAGTTCGCATTACTCTGGCTATAAAAAAAATTCGCTTCTTTATATTAATGGTAAATTCATTATGCATAATAATAAAAATTATGTACACATTAAGAATATAACCTTTTCTGGTTACCAGAAAGCACTGATGAGTATGGATAGCCCTTCGAAAATTCCTGGAAATCTGATATTTCTGATGAGTCAAATAAAACTGTTAATAGTAAAGTTGATAACAAAAGATCATCTGTAATTAAACCATCTCAAAACTAACTCTTCATTAGTAGCCAATACTCTATCTGTAACTAACTCTTTATTAGTAGCCAATGCTCTATCTGTAACTAACTCTTTATTAGTAATCAAACTACCTATAGCAATTAGACCCTTATCAGTAACTAAGTCTTCATCTATGACTAATTTTCATTTTCGAATA